GGACAGGGGCGTTATCATCTTGGAATAAATAACCTCGTCCATTATAATTATTATTAATAAATGGAAGTAAATGTGATTCGAGTATTTGTATATAGTCACGATGGTTCATTTTACCATTAATTTTTATTAGCGGCCCTAACCCCTTTCCTGAGAAACAACCCCACATCATTAAACCTCCACCACCATGTTTTATTGAAGGAACCATGTTTTTAACATTAAACCTTGTTCCAGGGGTTCTCCAAACACGACCTGGACCATCATTTTTAAATATAGTAAAGCGGCTTTCATCGCTCCAAATAACTGACTTCCATTTTCTAACAGACCAGTCTTTCCTTTCAATACACCAGTTTAAACGATTTTCTCTTTGTTTATCATTAAGAAGAGGTTTGAATGCTGGAATACGTGAAAAAATATTAAGTTCATGCAAATTTTTCCTTATAGTCTTGGTAGTAACTTGTAGTCCAGTTTTCTCTTGAAAATTATTTTTTATTTGTTCAGCTGATTGACGATTATTTGTTTTGACAATTTTTTTTAATGTTTTTTGGTGTTGGCAATTTAAAAGTTTAGGACGACCACTTCGTGGCTGAGTTTCAAGACTTTTTCCTTCACAAAAGATTTGAATAGTTCGGTAAACTGCTGTTCTAGAAAAGCCAAGCATTTTAATAATTTTTTGTCTGGTGGCGCCACCTTTAAATAGACCAATAATCTGGTTGCGTTCAGCTTCCGTTAAATCATACATGGTGCGAAGTAGTACAAAATCCTAATTTGTCGATCACATTTGATGGTTGTCTATAAATGAAATAACAATTACGTCATTGTTTATTTATACCATAAACTATCACGTGATAAAATTTCAGCCCAAATTATTATGTACATCTTGGAGTAATTAATAAAATATGACGTCCGCCTACTTTTTTCCAAGTAGTGTATATTGATCTCATCATCACTAAGACGAGTATTCTTTTTTTGATCAATTCCATAAAATCCAAGTTCAGTTTTTGAATTGGATTTCCAATACAAAATTAATTTGCACATGGATTCTAGTTTATCCACATTAAGATTTAAGCGACGTTTATGAAATAGCCATCCTAAAGTCGAAAATCCACGTTAGCAAGTTGCTGAGTTAGGACATATTGCAAATAGATAACTTGCAATTCTTGGCAGGGCATCTGGTTCTGGTTCGGTATTAATATATTTCCACCAATTCACAGGTTTATCTTTAGCAAAACCGATATCTAGGTCAAATGGCTCTTGCTCATTAATATATTTCTGTATTTGATCACATAAAGTTTCAGCTTCGTAACTGTCGAAACCTAAATTTTTCCCGATTGAAGCTGCACATTTGATAATTCTCATGAGGGCGCATTTTTTAAGTGGCGCGTTTCTAAATCTGGGATCCATAAAAAAACAAGTAATATACTTGTCATCATCGAATTCATCAAATCTTTCATTTATTACTTTGATACAATGACTTCGGAATGCAGGATTTAATGATTTGGGTAACTTTTTTAATGTAGCTGCAAGTCTTGCCAAGCTCAGGAAACAATCTGCAAGTGTAGCTCTTCTCGATTCTAATGAAAGTACCGCTTTTCTTAGAGGATCCAGAACAAATCCAAGAACTCGTAAATTTGAAAAAAAATTTCTCGATTGAATAATCGGTTTTATTTTATCATTTGTTAGCACTTTATCGTGATCGCTGGCCATTTCTTCTAGTGCTGATTCCAAATTTATTACTGAATTTACGGATTCACTAGCAGTAGTCCAGCGTGTCTTGCAATATAATTTTAATCCTCCTCCACTAATTCCTTTTTCTTTAATTATTTGAGCAAGTTTTGCATTAGCCTGATGAGAACTTCTAAAAAAGGTTGTCAAAATATTAACACGTTTTAATAAACGTTCCCCAAACTTCTCCTTGACGATGTCGCATGCAATTAAATTGATAGAATGTGCAACGCATCGCACATTCTCAATCTTTGGATGATTCTCATGTATAATTTTTCGTGCATTACGAACATTGGCCGCATTATCGGAAACTACAGCACATATTCGATCTTCTCCAATACCTTCTATAACCTTTTCAATTACCGTAACTAGATATTCTGCAGTGTGCGAATTTTCAGACAAATCAGAAAGTTGATAAAGATATTCTTTACGCGACGGAGTCATTACAATGAAGTTCCAAATTGAACGATGTGTACCAGACGTCCAACCATCAAAGGCTAAATTATAAATTAATATTATATAGTAAGTAAGATTAAATAAAAA